CCGAAAAGGCAAGCTAAACAGCACAGAACAATACAATACACTGAGCTTCCGTCGCAGTCAGGGAGATATTTTCTGGTCCGCAGAATGTACATGTCCTCGAGCTATTTTCATTTTCCCTGTTGAGTAATCGTTAAAGGCTATTTAGATTTAATTAGAAACCTAGGTATTGCGTAACGAAGACGCTGTCTTATCCTACAGATAATCACGCGAAGAAAACGAATTCAGAGCTAAGAGTATGTAACAAACACGATTAAATGCATCCTCATGCCAACAATATTCTTCCTGCAGCCCTGTAGCATGTTCTTTTGAGTGTCAGATCATGCATTTAATAATATTCAATGCAATGTGCTTCTGATGTGGACCATTAATAAGAATGTGAACTGTTTTAAGAGGTGCAACCGAATTAAAATTAAGATCGCTTCGCAAAATGCGTAGCTTATGCAGCGTTGAATGCCAATACAGGGTCAAAATATTTGTATCTCTAACTTTACAGATGTTGCTTATGTACAAACAAGATATTTTCCGCGAAACAATGATTGATTCAAATTTTAAATTCCTTATTGCTATGGAACTCAAATATTCGTCATCATCAGAGAAGCTAGCGAACAATCCTAGTCTCAGCAAATTCCGCAAAAGTGCATAACCTAGTCCCTGAAGAAAAATTTTAACACTATCCATTCAGCTGCATTGTTCTTCCATTAAAATTAAGTACGGTCCCCTTGCGTGTTACATTTCGTGTGAAAATCAATAGCCCTGAATTAAATACAACTCTGAAAGTGGCAACATGGTCACTGCATGTAGCTGAACCAATGCAGTATCGTCACCATACCCAGATCTGCCTCGAGACTAACTCAGCCCGTGTACTCTTCAAACTGGCCGCAATAAGCGCTGGCCATTCACCCCCATCGAGTACCGAGGCCCAGAAAGCGTAACGCCTTACATTCGGGTTTCCTATATGCCTCCAAGGCACAAGGTCTGCAAGAGTTTACACAGCACATTCATGATTAAATTTCCAGCACGTTCAACAGCGAACATAGCGCCCTTCTAGGACATGATGCCGTCAGTATGGTACAGGTTTCACAGACAGTTAGGAGGTCCATGCTGTCAGTCTTCAGAGGACAGAAATACCCTTAAGACGAAAGCAGATCATTCTCTCGAAACGTCGGTATCACTTATCAGACTACATGGCATACACGGCGTGTCCAGGATCCGTTAGGACTCTCTTTTTTTTCCCCTGCAATGCGATCTGTTGGCGAGTTGTGGCGTTAAGATTCTTGAAGTTTCAGCTGTGCCTGTCTATAGTTTCAAAGCGCAAGCATCGCTGCATCATGTGTTCTGACCTTGAATGTAACAGAACTGTTCTGACGCTCGTCGGAAAATGGCGGCTGAACAGAGATGAAAGGAGACCGTCACGACACCATCCAGGAAATCCAAAGGAAATCTACCGCAGTTTTAAACGCGATTCCACAAAAGGAGTACAATGACTGTTTTCGAAAACTTTTCAACCGATTCAAGCTATGTATTGATTGAGAAGGAGAATATATCGAATAAGAAGAGTGAAATTTTGAAAATAATTCACATTTTGTATTTTTAATGAACACAGAACCTGGACACACTGTGTATTATCCCCGAAGACAGTAACTTTCACAGTCACCTCTGTGTAAACCTCAAATTTCACATCTTGAGTAATATCAAAATATAATAAAATAAAACTGAACGAGTACCATCGAGCATGCTGTTATGACCGTACTGAAATCGGAAAAGATTATCAAATTCAGAATCACCCTAGCAATCGATGCAGTGTTGTCAAGCAGAGATTGAGCCATGAAAAGATTCTCCGCATTCACTTTCAACGTGATGCGAGCTGGGCGCCGTGCTGGTGAGGCAACTTCTCCGGCATCACTGCTATGTGTACAGCATAAGAAAGAGCAACAGGCGTTTCAATGCAAGTAACTCCGACACGCAAGTCTTTAGAAAGACCGATGCAAGTTGTGGGGTTCTCACAGCGGTATCAATGGTGACTATTGCCTTCTGGGGTGTAATTCCGGGGCAGATTGTTACCAATGTTTCAGGCCACGTCATAGCTCAATCGGTTAGTGCTGGCTTCCCACCGCGGCGGCCCGGGTTCGATCCTGGGTCTGGTGAAGTGGGATTTGTGGTGGAAGAAGTGGCGCTGGGGCAGGTTTTCTCCGAGTACTTTGGTTTCCCCTGCCAATCTTCATTCCACCAATTACTTCACAATCATCCTCACCTATCATCTGGGGCTGGTACAATAGGCCAGAAGTGGCCGCAGTACAAAGGACTTCCACCCCACTAGCAATAAAAAAATACCAATGTTTCAGAAGAACATTCTGCTCCATCATCAGGGTAGAAGTGCAACCCAAATTAATTACTTTTCTACCGTGAAGATGGAGGTTGTTTGTTTCTCAAAAACGCCGGTAAAGACCTAACAGACCACACGGAATTACGTTCCGGACGACAGTAATTTTCGAACATCATCTGATAAGCATAAAGATAAGCCGCTTTCACGGCAATTCACTGCTTATGTCGATGCATTACTTATGCTTATGCATTACTTTTCAGTGTAAACTTACATACTAGGTTAAGCAGTTGATCAGCGGCTTCCGTAGTGTAGAGGTAACGTTCCCACCTCATGACTCGTGGTACGCGGGTTCAAACCCGGCGGAGGTCGTCGAATTTTTAAGGGCGGAAAAATTCAGGGAACAAGTCCTCCGGGAGGGACTTTAAGCCGTGGGTCCCGTGTCGTAGCTTTACGGCACGTAAAAGAACCTCATATCTCCAAAGGAGGTCACTGAGCCAAATTCAAGGACGTTTCCCGCCCAACAGTAGTCTCTAACGCCTCTGATAGATGGGGGAAGCATTATAGATACCTCCAAGCCAGTAGAGGCCGAACTCGCTGGCTCGGTCGGGACTGATTTAATCGGTAGGGTATAGAGACTGGTAGAATATCATAGAGGGAAGCACAATGGACCAATACTGGTCTAAGTGCATGGGGAAACCCAGCCTCTAGAATAACTAACTAACTAAGCAGCTGATCTGTCGGGTTCAGTCAGGTTAGGTCAGATCAAATGAAGGCAGGTCTACACCCACAGAGTCCACATGCTGACAGAACTCGCCACTGCGTGATGAATTGCACAGCTCAGATAGATCAGACGCCGTAGCCCTGACACCAGACATAGTACTGGTGGGGCGTATATGTGTCACCACACGACTTTATAGGACTCTGAGTAAGTTGCGCTGAATGCACTTCTTGTAATCATCGCGTAATATTTGATGCAGTCGCCATAATGCTGCCCTTAATATTCTTACAAACAACAAAATGTTCGTGTGTTTCAAAGATACTTAAGTTTCGGACCTTAACAATGAATGGTGATCTATTGTGGCGTGCCGCCTAAAAGCCGGACTATATGACGTCCATCGCTGCGCAACGGCTGTAATGGGAACGCATACTTCAGCGACAATGAATACATGTAAAGATAACTACCTAACAAACTGACAACAGAGACAACAGAGACAAAATGCCACGGCAACGAACAGACCCGCTAACGAATATTCTAGCAAACATGCGAAACAGAACCCTTCGACAAGGTGTTCTCTCAGCGGTACGCGAATAGCTACTTAAAGAGGGTAGAAGAGACCAGAGGAGTTCTGATCCGAAGAGAGATAAGGGAAGAACCGCCGAGAATACCGGTGCAAGAGTATAACCGTTGAAGAGGAAACGAAGAGAGACGACGGACTTTCAGGTCGCATCGTCTGAAAAGGCGTTATTTGAGAGTAATTGTAATTGTGAGTGTAAACGAGTATTTGTCCAATAAACAGCTTCGTCTAAGTCCGGAACCCATAATTTCTTGTCGCGTTACCTGGATACGTGACTGTGTTTGGTACTGTTGATTGACAGGTCTCCAGTTATATGATGACCAACCACACCGAGTTTCATAAAACTCGGTAGTTAATAAGGAGCTAATGGGAAGACAGACATGGGAAGTATGACAAGATTCCAAAATCTGATTTATGATATCGTTGCCACAAATGATTTACCGATGAGGTGTGTTTTTAGCTATCTGTATGGCGAACGAGATTTAAAGAACCCTCTTCCTTATGCATGTCTTTTCAGCTATACGTAAATGGACCGACTACGCAGATCTACTATTAAGTACTGCACTGAGGTCAATATGTCACCGAAAGTCCGTACTTTCTAAATACATACTTTACACCTGTGTTACTATTAAATCAGGTGGCATAAATGAAATTCATTCTTGTAAATCATTTAAATATGCCAAATTTTAAATTACGCCAGTAAATTAATCTTGTTGCACTAAATATTAATATGGCTATTCTCAACTGCACGCAATTTTCCATTTGAAAGTTAACAAACTCATTAACAAACAAATTAACTTATAAATTTCAGTTCATTAACACTAGTAGTAATGTGACAGCGCTTGTATTGCTTCCGCTAAGATCACATTAAATTCCTCCTGTGATTTCTATCGATAAATTCAAACGTTTAAAATGCGAGATTCGAAACTTTCAGTGTTCTGAAGCATAAGGCTACGGTCTCCTAGGTTATGACCCCGAGTAAACTTTAGGATCGTCATAGATGCTTCTGAATCTCCTGCCTTCATCTTCAGGGTAGAAAGTGAATAGATCTGAGATGTTGATTAGTTATATAGAAAGTGTGGAGAGATCGGCCGAGTAAGAGCCCTGTTTGGATTCCTGATGAAGGAGCCTAACAGTTTAACTCGACCTCCGCAGATGACGATCTTGTGCGCACGAGATCCATAACATTTTGCTACTTGGCGCATGATAACACTGACGATGGATCCGGACAGGCGTAGCAAAACCTTGTCACTCTGTATATAGCACTGTTAAGTGAACACGAAATCTAGAGTACAGAAACGTGAGCAAAACAAAGAAGAAAACACGGCATCCAAGGCATGGCTGGTCAGTTTCCTTAAAACAAAGTTCGGGGTAGCACTTACCGGGAGTAGCGGCCGCATTCCTCCACGATCTCAATGCCCCCCTGCGCCGTGACGCGTGGGTAGTTGCAGCGTCGGAATGAACTGAAGTAGGCATCCACTTTGTCAAGCAGACGACCCTGCAATACAGAGACAGTCCATGAAGTGGATAACTTAAGTAACAGATATCTGACTAACACAGTAAGAAAGTCTCGTAATTAACTGCGAGATTTATAAACTGCCAGCTAACAGATATTGATCAACTACCTCAAGGAGTCGGGAAAACTCGGTATAGCGACAAGCTATGGGCTGGACGTGCAGTGAAATATTCGACGTCCAGACCTGCTGTGGGGCCCACCTAGCATCCTATAAAATGGGTACCGGGGGATCTCCCTCGGGGGATAAAGCGATGGGGGCGCAGAGCTGACCACTCACCTCCATCTAGTGTAGAGGTTCAGAATAATGCAGTTATACCTCCACTCCCCCATATATCTTCATGGTACAGTCTGAAGTAATTAAGCACAGGGACAACTTCACCCTTTTTAGCAACTACTTCAATCTACCAATGACTACGAGTAAAGAAATGATAAATCTGCCCCAGTGCAACTGAACCTGGTGTTTTTTACTGAAAGGCCAAAAGCCTTCCTTCTATCAGGACCGGCGCGTGCATTTACGATGTTTACAGGCTCCGCCAAGTCGGCCAGCCACTCTGGTAGTGTGGCAGTGCAAGCTTATCAATGCTCACTGTTTCTCATCTCATTTTACAAGATCCTAAACAAAATTAGTGAAATACTCCTAAGGGATCCTATAATGAAAACCAAAACAAACGTTAAAACTTGGCTCATTAATCAGCTGATCGCTAACGGACGCCGTTTCACGTAACCATTTAACGTCGATTAAAGGGGAATGAATGTGACACAAAATTTCCCGCCATTTTGAAGAAATGTGTCCTTTTTTCAATTAGAACAGTTCAGTTTAAATCATTACGTAACATGTTTAGATTGCTGCGACTTAATAGTCACGACACAGATAAGAAAGCAATAGGAACTGATTTTCATTTAACAAGAGTTTAAAAAACATACTGTAAAATGTGCCGCCCCAGGAGGGCTCTTTAGTCGTCTGTGCTGTTCAGTAAATTATTCACGGAAGTCACGAAAACAATAATATTAATAAGATTATTACTGCTATCGCTGTAATGATGCACTTCAGTAATTATATTATTAACTCACCTTTAGTGAAATTGCGAATTACTGTTTTACCTGCCTCTTACACGCTATAGTGGAGCCCCAATTCAAATAACCCCAACTCCATAGCATGACGTAGCAAGTCCCAGCTCGAGAAGAAGACGTAGCGATGTTATCAGATCTTCATTCAAAGTACGAACTTCGAAGACAACTGTCGCAATCCCGCAAGGTCTAGAGTACATACCACTGTCTAACTGAACACTATTCGCAAATAAAATATACATAACTGACAAAACACCTGACCGACACGTGACTGTCGGCCGAAACTGTTTCGTAGCGGAGAGCCCTGACATGTTGGTCAATGATGTTTCGAGGCGGATATCTCTGAGCGCTGATACGATGGATTATTATATCGCGGCCGAAAGGAAGTTGCATGCTATTCAGCTGTGTAGATAAAAGTAAAAAAAAAAAAAGTAAAGCTATCCCTGTACCAGGCCGTTAAGGCCCATAGGGTTGTGATACGTTGAGGATCGCACATTACCTAGACAATCGGCTCAAAGATGGCGGTAATGCTGTCAGCCTTACGCGCCGGCCGAGCTTTACTCCACATGAAAATTACTTAATTAATTCCTGGTGCTCATTTCTGTTAGAGGCTATCTCAACCCCAGGGCCATAGTACGGCCGGAAGGATTAGGTCAATTGAAAAAAAAAATCCAATGACCTCATCGGGACTTGAACCAGCGACCTTCCGGCTTGTAGCATAGTGCCTCAACCAACTACGCTATCGCGTACCCACCAGCTGTGTAGATTCTGAAATAAAATAATGATGTAGCTGCTACAACCGGCCTCTGCATTATGAGACATCAGGCTGGAATCTCGATCCGCGGTCAGGTTATCCTGACAGATGTTTTTGTTGCCTTCTGCAACCCTTCCAGGCAAATTCGACACCATCCTTCCATTTTCTCTTTCCAAATTCATCATTTATAACACCCTTGTCACTTTTCTTTAGACCTTAACCGAACCAATGACGATGATAAAGCGTCATTAAAACCAATGAACATATAACTTCGCATGAGTATCGCCATATGGATGAATCTGCTTCTATTACGGGGAGGTGGGACAGACAAGGAGGTCCTGCCTATGCACTCAAGGACATGGAAGAGAATTTTAACGCGAGTCAAATTTGTACTGCGCAGATGTCAATGCTGTACTTGACGACACGACCTCGTCTCGAAATAACCTTGAATTACGTGGGACAATCATTTCTATAGGCTGTAAACAACCATCCAACACCACAATTCACTTCGAGGGACACATACACTTAAACTAAGGCCGCGCCATATCTCAAGCGGTTAGTAGCAGGCTTTCCACCGCGGCAGCCCGGGTTCGATCCCGGGTTTGGTCAAGTGGGATTTGTTGTGGACAAATTGGCGCTGGGACAGGTTTTCTCCGAGTACTTTGTTTCCCCTGCCAATCTTCATTCCACCAATTGCTCCACAATCACCCTCACCTATCATCTGGGGCTGGTACAATAGGCCAGAAGTGGCCGCAGTACAAGGGACAGTCCCACCCAACTTGCAATAAAAAAATCTCTTAAAATACAGCCATGAATGAATGAATGTATAAGGGGTGGGCATTCTTGGCCTTTGCACCGCGACCACAGTGATCTAGTGTGCCTCCTCTTCTGATTATCCCCTCAACAATGCTACGCTTCGAATGAAGCGCAGGATTTTGTACGTGGGAACGTCGAAATAGTCACTTGGTTCCATAAAATATTGATCCAAGTGGCGCAATCTTAAACTATAACCATGCTCCTGTATATGTGTGTGTGTGTGCGCTCGTCAATCTGTCCCTCTAATGACTTAAAGAAAAAACCTGGCGAATTTTCGTAAAACTGGTGCGGTCATCATGCCACTGAAAACAATCCCACGTTCGGTATCACCAGTAATATCAACAGGTGACGTTTCGAATGTTTTGTATTTCTAGCTACACTGTCTTTATGAAACTTTAATATTATCATCCAATCTCATCGCGGCTTTCCAAGTCCTTCTTTCCATGACGATTTTCCACTCAACTTTTTATGGGTTCATGTTTTAATCTCATGCCTTATCTTGTGCCCTCCGACGGTGGTAAGCTAAACACATTATTAATACTTAGTATTAAGCACAAACTGGAATGTTCCCCCTTAAATCCTCTTAGACTATGAACAAGAAATGTCGGTTTGAAACCGGGCCTTCTTTCTTGTGTACATTTGGTGTGTGGCGTTGCTTATGAAAAGATATCTCTCCTACCATCTGTTGACGTATTAAGCTCACCTGCACGTTTAAACAATACATCATGAGTTAACAACGAACGTGGAGAACAAAAGAACGTCATTCTATTTTATAGCTAACCATGGAAACGGTTAAATTATTTTTACCATCACAGCTCATTTTCCTTACCGTGTAAACACGCATTTATCTCGTAATCAGACTACAATTAACAGATGGATGTCATTGTTGTACATACACATATGATTAACATAACCGGCTACGTAGCTGTGACCTCATCTCTCCATCCACATTTCACAACCTTTAATACGGGCTCCGGGATATTTTTTCCGGTTCGGAAATTGTTACAAATCAACGGCAATGTGGACTTCTGAACAGCGAATTTTCCCCACTTTTGAGTTAAAACCTTTTGCAGCATGAATTAATAAAATACACAGTTTCTTGAAAAAAAAATATGCAAATGCGATTCATATTTTGTAAGACAGTATTAACGTTAGTTGTAACTGCTGGACTGTCACACAGATGGAGTCACTGAGGCGAACTAAATGGGATTACAAACATCTGAACTGCTTATAATCTGCGGATAGAGGGTTTTCAGTCTTTTACTGAAATTATAATCTTGTACTGCAGCATCCTGTTGCACTGTGTATTCTAAATTAGCACTGGCAATTCGCATCGTCCCTGTGCAGCTTCGTCGATGAATCAACACATCAAAAGCTTTCGTCTGTTCCCATTATTCGAACACTACATGCTTCGACCGAACTGGTCGTCATCAGATGCGCAAGTTGTAAGGGAAACTTCTGAAAGGTTACCACTCTATTCCACTCTGCATTTTATATGTGTAAAATGCTTATAAAATATTTGTTGGTGTGCTGGGTTTTCTTTGATGTGCGTAGCTGTTCTCGATATTTCGTGTGATTGGTTCTGCTCTGATTCGCCAAGTTTCTTTAAAAGTCATTAGGGGGACACACGGACACACACACACACACGGGCATGGATATCGCTTAAGAGAATTTCATCCTTGAAATGAACGAGGGATAAAAATATAGATGCAAAACTATCAAAATGGATCGAAATTATAGGTATAATAAACAACTTAAAAGGAAGAAATGCCGGTCACGGTAGCCGAGCGGTCTAAGGCATGAACTGTCTTCGCTCGCTTGGAAACCGAGATCGTTGGTTCGAATCCTACNTTATTGCTAGTGGGGTGGGACTAAGTCCCTTGTACTGCGGCCACTTCTGGCCTATTGTACCAGCCCCAGACGATAGGTGAGGGTGATTGTGGAGCAATTGGTGGAATGAAGATTGGCAGGGGAAACCGAAGTACTCGGAGAAAACCTGCCCCAGCGCCACTTTGTCCACCACAAATCCCACTTGACCAGACCCCGGGATCGAACCCGGGTCGCCGCGGTGGGAAGCCAGTGCCTAACCGCTTGAGCTATGCCGTGGCCACTGTTACTTAGAGACCGAATTAATATTAACCGAAATGTTGGATTCGCCTGCTTGACTCCTCAAACTGACGACATGCAGACTGCCTAGAACAAGACACCAAGGACGACTTTCGAAGAGAGTGTCAGACTAGTGAAGTCTAACCAGTTCAACAAACGGACCAACTCCTTCTCAGTTGCATGATGTTCATGACTGCTCACTTCACTGTGCACCTCCCCTTTCCCAGCTGCGAGACAG